CCCCCCCCCCCCCCAACTAGTTGTCATGTTTAGTCCTAATTCATGTTTGCCAAGTTTAGTCTTTATTCATATATTCTGTTGTTCATATGAAATATAATTGAGTGGTATGGGTAGATCCACTTGCATGATAAGAGAAGAGCTTCATTAATAATTTAGATAACACGAAGACAAATTTTACATTTGTGACTAAGACTCATGCGAATTGTTTTTTCAATTGGTGTAATGGTCAAATATCTAATTAATAGGGACGAACGTGGGTATAATACAGTTCAGTTTTCAGTTAGAAGTTAGAACTTTTACTTGGCCACAAAGCTTGAAAAATATGACCAATGAGCATGTTGCATGCTTGTTGTCAACACCCATATATATTTGTTTTATTTCAAGGCAGAAAACTTGTTTCAAAAGACAAGAGAAACATTTTTATTTTGTGAAAAGGAAAAGATATTCAAAATTCCATTCAAGAAAATTAGCACAAGTTTTCTGAAAAGGAAAATAGGAAGGGTTTATGCTGAAATTTAGTGGGTTCCACGTTAAACACTTCTTTTCAACATTAAAAAAATAAAATAAAATAAAAAACTTAGATACAAATTTTTAAATGTGAATGATATTATTCTAACCAGAATTTATAATTTACTTAGATAATATGCATTTGCATTCAATATATATTTTATCAATATACACTTATGCATATTACTCATATAAATATCTAATTTTGATTGAAGAACTATATCAACAACACCTATTAAATTGTACTTAAGTTTTGTTCAAAATAAAAATGTTAAAGTCAAATTATTATCATAACCGGTTATATTATCCCATAAAACCAATTATATAGTTGTTCCTCTCCCCTAATCAGTTATTATTATTATTTTATATCAAAAGTACATGAATGATAATAAAGATATCGAACTTAAAATTATGTAAATATTACTTCAACTCCACCATAACCCCTAATCAATTATGAAGCCAACTTTTCCAATAAAACAATAATTAAAAATTTTATTTAGAAATTTTTTAAAATGCACTTAAATTTTAGTTAAAATATATTACCAAGTTTTAACTAAAAATTATCTTAAAATACATTATTCAACTAAAAAGCAAGGTAGTATATTTCAGCAAATATTAACATGGTTTGCTATCTTACACTCAATTTTAATAATATTATATATTGTTAACATACTTCAACTAAATAAATAAGTAAAAGTAGGTTAATAAATCTTTTTTATTTATTATTTTAAATCAAATAATTTATCAAAAAGTTAATTTTTACTTCTATTTTTCTATTTCTTTTAAATCAATCAATTTTTTTATTTATTTTATTTCCACTATATTTCTCATTTATTTTTATTTTTTTGTTTCATTCTCTCCTATCAAATATTGTGCAAGAGTGTGTTTCATGTCTCCCGATGCATCAATATATATATTATTTATTAATAACTACCATAATCAAGGACTTTAAGAGCTCAGATCCCCTCCTGATCTCCAGCCAAATTTTTTAAAAAAGAAATATTTAAAAAAAATAAAAAGAAAAATAGATGATAGAGAAATAAGAAGAAAATAGAAAGGAAAAACAAAAGGCTGAAGAAGGGTTTTGGGCCGGACTTTAGTACTTTGGTGAGGGTTAGGACATTGGCCACAAATTTCAGTCCATTGGGTCGGTTATTAATACATTTGTGTTTCCTAGACATTCTTGGCTGTGAAATGCAATCTTTCATTTCATCAAATATTTACCCTTCATATTAAAAAGGCTAAAACCCTATTTTGATCTCTTATATTAATTGTTTATTTTAATTTAGTCTAACTTTTAATTTTAGTTTTAATTTGGTCTCAAACTAATTAATTAGTTTTAATTTGGTCCCAAATTAATTAATTGGTTTCAATGTGAGACTTCCGTCCAAATTATTTAAACGGAGTTAACTTTTGGTCACGTGGATGCCATGTAGATGCATACGTGAATGCCACGTGGATAACAATTTTTTTGAAAACACATGGACCCAGAACTACCCATTCTGAAACCAAAACGGGTCGTTCTGGTTGCACTCTTGGTGTGTTAATTTTGCAACTGAAACAGGTCGTTCCAGATGCAAAAATTAACTCACTACCAGTGTATCAGAACTTTCAGAACGGCCCGTTCCAAAACTGAGAATAGAATATTCTTGGCTTAATTATGTTTTTGATCGCTCAAGTATTATAATTATGCAATTTTGATTCCAAAGGTTTTAATTGAGTAATTTCAGTCCTTAAAAGATTACAGCTGTGTAAATTTAGTCTCACAATTTTTAATTGAACAATTTTAATCTCTCAAATATCATAATTATGCAATTTTAGTCTTTCTCATTAAAAATTTAATAATTTTAAAATTTTAATATATATATATAATGTTTTAAAACTATATAATTGTTTGCTTATTTAAATTAACTTATATTATAATTTTTTTTAATGTATCAAATGATATATATTTATTATTAATTTTTAATGGGAGAAACTAAAATTGTACTATTATGATATTCGAGGGACTAAAATTGTTCAATTAAAAATTGAAGGACCAAAATCGCGCAATTGCAATTTTTAAGGACTAAAATTACCCAATTAAAATCTTGGGGATCAAAACTGCACAA